GCATAATTTGCACGCATTTTTTCAATGCAATGAAATTATTGTTAAGAAATATCTTTTGTGACTAAAATAAATAGGATTTTTCAATCGAAAATTACCTTGAAAGTCAAGGTTAAATATTTAAGATTTTTAATGAACGGCGAGTTGTAAGACATGATACCATCGTTTATCCTGGATAAACATAGCAACTTTTGAAATGCGTCCAGAAGTTTTTATATTAATTATTCGTGTTATGTTTGTAACATACAAAAACAATACAGATTAAATGTAAAAATGTTTTCTTTTTTTGACGTTCATAAGTGTTCATTGTGTCACCTATATGTTATAACAGTTTTTTCCGATTTTGCGGTAATAAGTAAGAATATAATTCTGAAAAAAAAAACAAAGTAAACAAAGACAAATAAATTTGAAAACTCAAATTTCTTTTTACAATTATTATAGGGATTTCTAACAATTATAGACATAGGTAGGTATAATCCTAAATTTGTTAAAAATCCTTTGTCCCATTTATTCTTTCGCAAGTACAACGTGAGTGATAAAGACAAATTTATATCACTATAAAGAACTTATTTCGTTAGTGATAATTTTGGTACATTATACGTTCAAATCAAATTAATGTGTTGAAGGCTATTTTTAGGTACATGAAATGTATAGAGCTATTTAATATCGAAGCAAGATTTCGTAATCTTCGTATCCGTTTTCGTATATCTTAAGTTTCAAAATGTTGCTACACGGATGGTTATTTGATCTCTACATATAAGGAAATTAATAGCCACATCTTTTTTATTAGTTATAAAATGTATAAGAATTATTTCAGAGTAGTGTTGGACTAGTGACAGTAACTACAAATATCCAACCATAAATCACGATAGCGTACAGAAATTGTAGCGCCACTGTTTATTGTTTAGTTTTATCTATTGTTATTTTATAATTGCCCCCAAAAAATATATCTCTTTCAATGCCTAAGATGTTGAAAAAAATAATGGATTATAAATATATTTAATTTTGTAATATTGAATCCTTGTTCAACTGACTTATAAGAGCTAACTTTTATTTGAAGATTTATTATTTTAAAAGCAAACCCTCTGACACAATACAAATGAATTCACAGAATTAAGATTTGAATTTGATTTGATTCTAATTTATACGAGAGAGTAGAGTAGAGTTATTAATTAATTAATTTGATAGTCTGTGGTCTCAAGCTTTTGAAGCTTTTTTTGTCCACAGGTTAAATTAGAAAAGTACCGGTTTGTAATAATGAAAAATGTTAATTGAAAGTAAATAGTAATTATTATTACACAACGTTTCTGTGTCATGATAATAACACACCAAGAACATTTAGAGCGTAGAGTTTTAATACGAAAACACATTTAATTAAAATCCGGCTATTTGTTTTTGGTAAAAAAATTAATCTATGTGTATGTCTGTACGTTAAAATATATTAGACAAACTAATAGGGCATTAGTAAAAGAGGGGAAGGTGAATGTGATTATCAACCAAAACCATGCACAAAGCTAGGAAAACAGAAACAGAAAATTCCCTGACCACGACCCAGGCTTGTGACCCTACTGTATGAGTGGAGAAGAGAAAACTCGCAGAAAATATACAACTGTTAATTTCTTTACTAGACGAATCAAAATGTAATATCACACATATTTTTGAAGTTTTTTAAGTTAAATAAAATATATGTTTTCACTCATGTTGCAATTAATAAACAAATACTGGATGTCATACTAAGTATTTAGTCTATCTAGACAACTCAAACAACAGCTATGTTTCACCGGTGTTATCTAACTCAATCAATAGACTTATCACAATAGTGGATAGTCTTTTGTCTTATTCAGTTACTTGATGTTGACGAGATAAGATTAACTTAAAAACCTAGGCTTTTTATTTCTTTTGACAATAAAACCTGATAATAACGAGCGAAAAATTAATAAATTTTTTATCCAATTTGATACAGTCGTTCGTAAGTTATGTGAAATGGACATTTCGGTTATTCTATCTATGAAAATAAGAAAGCCTACATAAACTTATTGGTAATGTGGTGGTAGCGTGGGATTCTTAACCCGTAACGAATAGTTATTGATACAATAATTTACATTACGGTATTGCATATTTTGACGAAAGAAATGAACGCCAATATCGAATGGCTCTCAAAACCAGCGGACAATTCCCAAGACGCCTGGAGAAACCTCGATACTCTGGGATATGCTAGATTGGGATCCATGGCATCTCCGTGCACAAGACCTAAACGAGGATATGGCGTCGACTGTGAGATGAATGAGGATTAGAGACCCTGGTGGAGCCTACTGGATAGGACAGACAACCCCTACTAACTAACACTAGATTAGGTGAAATAGATTATGTATCAAAAAAGACAGGAGTCGGTGCTCAGCAAGCGAACGACCGCTCCGCGTCCCCATAAATTATAATTAGTGTAAGTAGGATAAGACAATATATAACAACATTATAAATTTATTCTGTACAATTTAACAAGCTCACAGCACACACTGCACGACACTTATATAATTTTGAGACAAAATATGTAGTCTGTAAGTAGCTGACACACCACAGGCCGAATACACCATCGACCTGTGGACATAATGTAACATAAGAACTAGGGAAATAAACATATTTCTATTCTATTCTATTCTATTGCATATTTTGACGAAAGAAATGTATATAATTTTATTTAATTGCATAATAGAAACGTGAAATTCGCGAATTTAAATTTTTGAACGCTAAAATTAATTCTAACAATTTTCTGTTTCAAATTAAGTAGTGGATTTTAATTAATCTCGTGTATCAAAAAGTAAATAGCATGTCTATAATAAGTTACACGGCTTTATGCTAAAGTATGTATTTGTCGTGGTGTGTAAAAACGTAAAACTTGGTTCGTACAAATTTTTCCCTTAAAAATCTGGAACTCACATAACAATACAATGCTTGCTTATGTAAGAAATTACGATGTACAGAGGGAAATAAAAAAATATTGGATTTGCGTTCCCTAATTGCAATAATTTCATAAAATCTGATAAAAGCCAAGAGGCTGATTGCAGATGCATTAAAAAAAATGTAAGAAAACCCTTTTCATTTCCAATCACGCCATACAAACCTGAACATTGCCTAAAAGGCTCGTGAAAGTAATAATGTCAAATGCAGTAATAAACCAATATCAAAGAACAAAAGGGACCTTGGAATGTTAGAAACATGACAGTCGGACAAAAATGAACGATTTACGAAATTCTAAGTACAAGTATACCTTTACGCTCGGGGCTTACATATTCACGAAATATGAACTTAGCTATAATTCATAATGAAACATTTTATAAGCATTTGGGTACGAAAAAAATGTATCTAGAAATAAAGAAGAATAAGTATTCTCTATGATTGATGGTTGATACAATTTTTGGTTGATATTGAGTTTCGAGTTTTTTGTGAATCGAGTACTTGAATAGAAGATGCCTTCGTCGTCACTTTTATTCTTGAAATCTCTATTTTTTATCTAAAATAATATTAAAAAGAAATGGTTGTATGTTAACGTTTTGAACTGCAAAACCCTTCCGTTCTCTCATCTTGTTTTATTATTACTTAAGGTATAACCTACTTACTTTTTACCGTTTTTTTAAATAAAAATATATTATTAATATGTATTTTTCAACATTCAAGTGGAAAATAAATATGTAATAAAACTAGGTACAGATGATCAACTTTAATATACAAAGTTTTGGATAATTGTCCACTGTCACATATCTGTTTCCGTGAAGGGTTAAATAAAAAAATAAAATTTAAACGATTTAGATATGTCTTAAGATTTTAAATAAAGACAATTTCAAGCTGCATAACAAGCTATTGTTTATGGAATACTTTTAGTAATAGAAAATCCATAACTACTTCACCTAATGTCGGTGATCAGAGCTAAACTCATCTCAAATAAAATAATGTTCACTGTTTTATTTCTGGATACAGATACTTTTTAACAATGTATTGGACCGCAGAGAAGGTTGCAAAATTTTATAGTCTGTTTTAATACGGCACTCCCGACCTTACATCAAAATTTGAAAATTTTGGAATGATATGGATTACTTTCAAAAGACTGGTCTATAATAAGATATAGATTATTAAACTACTTTTGATTGTTTATTATTACATTTACTAAGATTTTAGAGTGCAAGACAATTTGACCATGCGTGGTCTTATACTAGATAGTTTATTATTATTTATAAGTAGTAAAAATATTTAGGAACAGGTTTAGAAAATTTTAAGATCAATAGTGTATTAAGTTTAGGCATTACAGAACATTATTATACATTGTGGATTTATTATTTAACCAAATAAGAACAGAAAAACTAATGAAATGGAAATGGAACAGATGTAGAAAATAGAATATAAGCTTATGCGATCTTTAAGTTTAATGGCCGATTAACATTAATATTTTTTTTTAGTGGTTTATTCAAAAGTTGTATTACAACAATAAAGCTTGTTGAATATTATAATACTTCAAAAAATTCATAGATAACAAAAACCTTAATTTTGTATAATATTTTGATAAGGTTTATAATTACTACGTTAAATTGTAAATTTGTGGTCAGTACATATAAATTATTAAGGTCAGGACAAATCGATGCTTTAAATGTGACTATAATTTAATCAAGGTTAAATTATAGTCTATTTATATAGCTATAGGTATTTTAAATCATTGTAGTTACAAAATTAATAATCTCTTGATTATTGATTTCATATCTGATATTACCAAAGCTTCAGGAACTGTCTGCATTATCTCAAACCGGTTCAAACTCTGAAAGTTGAATATAGAGCATTTTGAATTTGCGCCTTGCGATACCCCTCGAAAGCGAAAGTACTGTAGGACTGCAGTGCTATGCCTTTTTTCTTCGCTCCGCCACTCATGCCGCTCATATATATATCAGAGCTGAGATCCAACACGCATCATTCGCATTCAGGACTTCGTTGACTTCAGTGCAACCAACAAACGTAGCATCATGAAGCTCATGGTGTGTGTCTTATTTAAATTGTGCTTGTGCTAGTGCTCATGTGATCATCAATCAAATTTTCTGGATTTGCCATTGTTGGTCAATAAGGAAATTATACAGTTACATAAAGCAATTGAACATAAATATCATACACATATAACATCTATATATATATATCCTTCAATTACTTTTGTGAAAGATAGGAGATACAAACTGTTGTATCTCCTATCTATGAGAGTAAAAAGTACTATGAATATGTTCTAATTTTAACTTTGGTTTCAGCTCGTGGCCGCCAGTCTGGTGGCTGTCCTGGCTCTCTCTCTCGCCGAAGAAGCCAAGGCAGCAGAAAAAGAAGTGGCAGTAACCGACAACAAGGTGGCGGCTGACGACAAAAAACATGAAAAACGTGGTCTCATAGGTCTCGGATACGGGCACGGAGGATTTGACAGTGGCTTCGGAGGAAGCTATGGAGGCGGTTTTGACGGTGGATACGGCGGTTACGGTGGTAACGGTGGTTACGGTGGTTACGGTGGACACGAGGAAGTTCACAAAACCGTTACTGTTGTAAAGAACGTTCCTGTTCCTTACCCAGTTGAAAAACATATCCCATACCCAGTCGAGAAACACGTTCCTGTACCTGTCAAGGTGCCAGTGCCTCAACCTTACCCCGTAGTTAAGCATGTCCCATACACCGTTAAGGAACTAGTCAAAGTGCCTGTGCACGTTCCTCAGCCTTACCCAGTAGAGAAAAAAGTGCCCTACCCAGTTCATGTCCCCGTTGACAGACCAGTCCCAGTCAAAGTGTACGTTCCTCAACCCTACCCAGTGGAAAAGGAAGTACCGTACCCAGTAAAGGTTCATGTACCTGCTCCTTACCCAGTTGAAAAGAAGGTCCCCTACCCAGTAAAGGTACCAGTTCATGTACCCGCTCCCTACCCCGTTATCAAGGAGGTCCACGTACCATACAAGGTCCACGTTGACAGGCCTTACCCTGTACATATCTCCAAACCTGTGCCTTACCCAGTAGAAAAGCCTGTACCCTACCCCGTTGAGAAGCCAGTGCCTTACCCCGTCAAGGTCCCAGTCGACCGCCCTGTACCAGTGCACGTTGAAAAACCAGTCCCCTACCCCGTGAAAGTCCACGTACCAGCGCCATACCCAGTTGAGAAACACATTCCCGTGCCAGTCGAGAAACACGTCCCAGTGCCCTACAAAGTCTTGGTAGACAGACCTTACCCAGTACACATTGAGAAACACGTTCCCGTTCATGTTGAGAAGCCAGTGCCCTACCCCGTTAAGGTACCTGTTTTCGTCGGCCACGGTCACGAGTACGGTCATCATGAAAGCTATTAATGGCTGCAGGAAGAGAAGGCTCTATTGTGATATATAAATGTAAGATTAGCACAAATATTATAGTTAAGCCAGTGAGCCGTCAGAGATTATGTCAAATCGATCTCTACACATACTACTCTGAGGCTAGACTGTTTTGCACTGATACGACTTGCTTAATAGATTTTTTGTTATTTTATTTTTTGTATGAAACCTGATCAGTTGTTGCGTTGTATAATTTTGAGTTGATGTACCTGTTACTTTATAAACGAAAAAATGTTACCATTTATAGAAAAGTTACCTGTATTTTATAAGTAATAAACTTGGCCATGCCAAAAATGAACGATTGCTTTCATTGATTCCTCTGTTATTTTGCATAATTACGTGCAGTATGTTATTATTCGATCCGTAGACCGTAAGTATTTGCGAAATACGACATAGTACGGCCTAGATTAGTATCGCATCGCAAGCCACTCGGATCGCCGCTAGTTAAATGGTGTCGAAACATTTGACAATAAACGCATACACTGTTTTGCGTAACTGACATAAGTAAATCTATATAAGTCAAATTTCATAATGACTTTAATATATTTCTCAAAATAAATTAATAACATTTGAAGAACCTTGAAGCTGGTTTTCGAATTACATACATCTATGGTTCGCAATTATTTCGTTAGAATCCGCTGTTTTCACAATTCACTAATAAGATACATTCAATTATTTCTTATACTGATCTTTAATAATTTTCATTTATTTGAAAATAGAACACAATCTAACTGCTACTAAATCTGAACTTTTTGGTTTCTTTGGTATAATATTTTATGGATTCCTACTCTTTGAACCAGAGCTCTCTGTAAATAGCAAATCCTTATTTTAGTTAGCGAACATAAATCTTTAGGTTGCGAACATAGCTAGTACATGATATTTCGCTTTATCTTTGATCTCCATAATGAAAGTTGTCAGTGAAGCTGGCTAATCGAAACATTACTGATTAGTGTTATGACATTATACGAAAAGGTGAACTGATGAGGCTTTAACCTATAGCAACATATTAACGTGTCTCGGTTCATTATCTTTTACACTTCATTATTTGACTTAAATCGTTAACACACAAACATGCACCTAAGACACTTTTTGATTGTATTATTGCTATACAAACATTTATTCTGCATACAGTATAAAATTATTACCAAACACTTTTCATTTCACAAAGAGGTTTTACTTGCATTAAATTAATAATAATAAATGTAAATATGAATGTAATGAATAGTTCTATGTTTAAAATAATATTCAATTATTTCAAAACTACTATTGCATTTACACTTATGCTTACAAGCTTCACAACGTGAAAATTTCACTTGATCTATGTTGGAGATGAGAATGTTTAGTTTTATTATGAACGGACAGTAGTGATAATTATCTAAAAGATTGAAAGAAGTTTTATTGTTTACATGAATTAAAAATAAGAATTTATGTAAATAACGTAAATAATTTGCTATACGATTTTTTTATTATTCAATTGATATTATTTTTCCACTGGCACTACAACCATTTACCTTAGAGTTCTGTTTTTTTGATAGACAAGTAGGTAGTCTTCTGCCTGATATTGACAATTTATCTAACTAAACGCCCTTGACTTGCGAACTGGAAGTAAATGTAAATTTAGAATTAATTTAACTTCTTTTCTGACGTTCATTAGTGTACTTGTTTACCTATATGAATTAAGTTATTTTGAGTTTGAGTTATAATGTCATCTTTTAGGTGTGATTTATTATCAATAATTATATTATAGTAAGGTCTAATTATATTAAATGAATGTTAATAAAATAAAATATCAATAATAAGTTATCACTGCTTAGCTGCTTACTAATTTAATATTATTTATATAACTCATTTCTTAGCACCTTTCATAATTAGTTTCATTAGAATTTTGAAAGTGAGCCTTGAAACTAAATGTATTTAATAAGAACGTATACACTGTCGGAGCAATTACTTTATCTTATTATAAAAATGTTCTTAAAATGTAATAGGTACAAATAGTGTTATGTAACATGTAACAATGTGTTTAGAATCTGGTACAATACATATAACGTGCTCGGTGTATTAAATAACATTTTATTACTTTACATGTTTAATATACTCTCTCAATGTTGCAAAACTTTCGGTGAAAATAATGTTGACTGTAGGTAATTATAATTTAACTTTAATAAAGGTATTTATGATACAAACATCTTTTTTCATAAACGTATTTCCTAAATAGCGATTGTTTTTTAATTTTCAAACAAATGAATTTGACAACTATTTAAGGTTTTGATGTTTGGACGTTAGAATATTTTGTTAAATGATAAAATATTTCATGTCACATTGTAGCTAGACTAACTATTAATACGAACTTTAAGATAATTTATACATAAAGGAAGTTCAATCTGAGCAAAGATCAAGTTAAATCTGCGTTGGTCTAAGGCGCATTCTCCAAAACGTACATCAAACTACAATATTGTCGAACTCCTTTGAAAATATTATTGTTGCCAGAAAAAAAATTAGTTAGATTTTATCTATTCTGGTTCTGAAATACCAGCATTAATAATAATACCAGATTAAAAATCCACAGGATTTAGGCAATGCAAATTTTTAATGATACTATATAAAAATAACAATATAACATATAAATTACGTTACCAGGCTTAAACACATAAATAGCCTGATGTTATTATATATTTTTGTATATAGGTCTAGTCTAGAAATATCTAGGATCTGAATTTAGCGTATTCCCTTGTCTGCGTGCATTTAAGTGTATAGCCCTTGGCGATATTTTAGGTAACAACGTGACTAACTATAAATCAATAAATTATTATCCGTCTAACTCTGGAATTATCATAAAGTAGAGCTTTCTTATTACAAAACGTCAACTACACTGTGCAACTGTATGGCGGTAATGTTTTACGTAATTTGCGATACTTACCATTTTAAGTATTACATCACCGTTAATATCGGCTATAAAATATTATATTTTCATTTAATTATGTATATTTTTGAATTAATTACGGTTAAACGAGCTTGACGGTTCTTTAAATGTATAAACGTATATTGGTTGATCATTTGCTCATTAGGTCATGTCATGTGCAAATTATACTTAAGGCGTGAAATAAAATGGTACTACTAAATAGAAAAATTTTTTGACGTTATTACTAGAAATACTCAATTAAAACAGTAGAATTTACAATTATATTTTCAATAAAACCTCGATATATAATTTATCCTTATAAAGTTGTACCACGTAGATTGTTTATAAATATTTCACTGGAAGTCAATGACCTGCGTGATTGCAATACATAGTTGAAGGTCACGATTCAGCCATTGTTTTAGCCGTACGCACAATATTTCCTAATGTTCCATTTGTATTGGTCACAATCTTGATTTAATTGTGAAGCTTTCAAAGGTATTTGCCTGAATAAATTTATAGTTTCGTTTCACACGTTTTCCGTATCCTACAAAAACAGTCATCCGTTATATCTATCCTATATATAGTATATACATCGTAAATATTTTTTTATATGCTTTTTACATATGGGAGTTAAGTAGCGTTAAGTCTCCACTCTGAATTGTAACCCGAGACTTGACTCTTAGTCCATCCTTAAATAGTTCAAAGGTAAATATCGCGCAACACTTAAATTAGTATTTATTATTTATTTCGTAATCCTACAGCTAACATAAATTATATATAACAAAAAACAATTATACTAAAGATATAGCAAAAGATGGAATACATAATATATACGAAAAGGTTCAAAGATTTACAAAAGTAAAAATATGAATAAAAATTATTAAATACATTTAACTAAGTTATACCTAATTCGGCTGTGTTGTGCGATGGTGTGAAAGTGAGGGCGTGTATACTAAATGTGCAGATAAGATATAATACTAATATAGTGTTATATTAGCACATAGTTGTATGTAACGTGTCATTGTTACGAGAAAAGCTTATAACTTTTTGCTAAGTAAATGTGGCATAATTGCATCAGTTCCTTGTTACCGCGGGAAATTACTTATAATCTGTTCCTATGTAATTAAGATATTCTTTGTGGTTAGATGAATTTTACGATTGAATAAACCAATATTTACTTTACATTTAAGCATCAAACTATTTATATCTACAGTGAATATGCAAATCATGCTCAAAAAATTATAGAAAAATTTACATAATACGTCCTTTATGTGAAATCTTAAATATATTAGATATATTGAAACTATTTAATCGTAATCGCTTTAAGTGACTTACTTGCTTATAAGAAATGTTTTTTTTATTAGACCTTTTAATTGAATGCAAAACAATTATTACCCTTGTGCTTACAATAATTAAATGAAATTAATCGAAGAAGAATCTGCGCGTACAACAAATAAACTACCGTTTATAATATTAAAACTTACGATCAAGTCTCATCTTAGACTTCTAACTAAATATCTAATGGCCTCCAAAGTTGACTATATATTATAACGTGTTCATTTTGTTCATATATTTTCTTGCCTTAATATAAAATCCAATTTATCAAGTATGAATATTTTGAAAAGCGTGCTTATTTAGGACAAGTTGCACAATATAATTCTACCGAGTTAGTCATTTGGTAAAGACATCAATACCCTGAGTGATTTAAAACCAATCATGTTAGGCAATAATTATTGTGGTCACTGTCAGTGCTGGATTTAATAAGTGGAGGGCCCGTTTTGGCTCCGGGCCCTGACTATAAAGGCTAAGATAACATACACATAGAGATCTTGAATAGTGTTTTGAAAACCATCCAAAGTAACCTTTAAATCGTAGAACATGTTCAATTATTATAATGATAGAGTTATTTACCATTCACTATGCAATTTAGCATACATTGGGTCAAGTAAAAAAGGGTTTGTGGGTTATCCACCTGTAAAAACTGTAAATACGTACCTAGTAATTTTACCATATTAAAACTCTTAAATTTCCGTCAGTGTCGGATAAATGTAAACAAATAGTCACGAGCTTTTGAGCTAAA